ACACATACACACACATACACAACATACACACATACACAGGCATACACATACAGAAGACACAGACATTCATCAGTCTCATGGTATATGTAAAATATTCCTTTCCCTCCTTTCCATCCATCCATCCATCCAAATATCCATACCTCTCAGTTTTGTTTTTATCGGTTATACTATTTCTACCAAACTTATGCACCATATAAATGCATTTTTTTAACGCAACCCGTGAGAAAGAACCTTGGAGAAGAGGAAGTTTGATGTGAGATGATGATGATGATGGTATTGAAGGGTGATGATGATAATGATGGTGATATTGGGGATGATGATGATGATATTGAGGGATAGTAATAGTAGTTAAATACATTAAGTGTAGAATGGGAACGATCAATAGAGACGGGGGATTTTTATTGTTGTACCCTCGAAAACCTCATAAAAAAGAAAGAAGAAAAAGAAGATAACATATGCTCATAGCAAAAGGTTTTATAAATTCCTTTTTTGAAACAGTAATACAACACTGTTTCATGCAATAACATCAACAATTCATACCATTTCATTTTCTCATCCCATCCAAATTTTTCTTATCTTTAATTATGCTAATACCAAACCTCATCGGAAATATCCATACGGATGAAATTATCATTGGAAATTTAGCACATAAGTAATGTATTGAAATATTCAATGGAATTTTTTCCCTTTGTTTTGTTATGGTTTCTCTTCTTTTTTTTCAAAATATCTTCAAACTATTTAGAGCATTTTGAAATTTTTAATGCTTATCAATAAAAATTGATATTTGTAAATTCGTGATGCTGATAAATTTAGAAATATGATAACAAATGAACATTTTAAAGTTTACAGAACATATTCATGCAGGAATAAACGAGATCCTCTTTCAGTTTTCATAACAAAAAGAAGGTCACCACTATGATAACCAATTATTTAAATGATGATGATATATTCTTTAACTTCAACGGCTATCAGTGCTTCATATAACTTACTTTCATCCTTGCTAAAATTCATGTCAGAATGATTAATCATATATCACTCACTATTCAATGATAAAAACATTCCTTTTGTCTACTAATAAAAAATATTTTTCAAAAAAAGTGGAATAATGTATGGAAAGGATCACTTTCGGTGCAAATTAAATATTCGGCATTAGAAAAGGCAAAAGAAAGGCAAACAAGCAGCACATACTGGCCAACCAAACTGGAAGTCAATCTTCGTTCCGTTGCGTAACCGTTCCGCATCAAGTGTTACTTCACCGAATGTACATTCACCATTGTAATTGATGTTTTTCTCAAAATGCTTCAAACAAATTCTCAGTTCAGGACGAAACTCCTCTTTTGAACCAACTGTCAACGAAACTAGTCGTATTTCGAATGAACCTGCACAAGAACACTGCAAAAAAGAAAAAGAAACCAATAATGGTTAGGTCGAAAATTAGCACACATATTTAGAAAATTTCCTCAAGAAAGAAATTTTTTTTTTTTTGGGAAAAAAGTAATAAATTTTCAATTGTTTTCCATCAGCATAGCTAAAAATGAAATTATTTTCTCATCAGACATTTTGTGAAGAAAATGTCTTTTTAATAGTTACGGTTATGTTCGGTGATTATTTATTTCTTTTGCACTCTTCCGCCTAATCGATGATTCGTTGTTTTATTTTCAACACCCTTGCATGGATCAGACATTAAACAATGCCTATTTTATTACATAGCCTTTCCACCTATTCCCATTCCACAAAATTCTTTTAGCTCTAATAGGATTTGAATAGTAACGTGTAATACGTGGAAAGAATGCTAACACATTAAACTATGCGATTAACAGAAGCATTTAGCAAATTGAAAGATTTGTTTGCAAAACAAACAGAGATGGAGCTAAATTTAAACCAATTTGTTGCACCAACAATTCATTTAAATGAGCGGAGTAATTAAATTTAAATTGAAAAATATCTTACCAAACGAAGAATATTGTATCCCATGATCATAATATAGATTGGCGATACGCGATAATGGAGCATTCTGGTACTGCGAACGAACTCGCAGTGCGTCTGTTTTTTTT